CTGAAATTTATTCTTGAAAGCATACGCGACGGAACTCTCCAACGATATCTGGAAATAAGAGAAATCGGCGATAAACAAGATAATCAAAACAGAAAGGAGTAACAAAGACGCAATTATATACATATATATTATCACGACGACATTATTAGAATAGCTATTGGATAAAATAAACCATAACAGTGATAAACGAGACAGTAACGATTATAATAATAATGCAATAATGATGATGATGATGATAACAGAGAGAACTGCGGAAAAATAGAAGACAAAGGAGAGACCAAATAAAGAGAACGGGAACGCAAAGAGGATATTGGAAAATAAACAATGATATTACCGGTGAGAAAGTTATATTATGCGAAATTTCGGAACTGGTTTTTGGTGGCAACACTTAAAATGGCGTCTCCCTTTGCTGTCTTTGGTCTGCTTCTCCTTCGATTTTTCTCCCTCTCTGCTTTTTGTGTCTGTCTGTCTGTCTGTCTGTCTGTCTGTCTGTCTGTCTGTCTGTCTGCTTGACTTTCATTCTCGTCTCTTCTCTTATCTTATCTTCTCTCTCTCTCTTTTTCTCCGTCTCTGCTTTTTGTGTCTGTCTGTCTGCCTGTCTGTCTGTCTGTCTGTCTGTCTGTCTGTCTGCTTGACTCTCATTCTCGTCTCTTCTCTTATCTTCTCTTCTCTCTCTCTCTTTCTCCTTTCTCTCTTTCCCATTTCCTCTCTTTTTCTTATTCTCTCTCTCTCAACTCTCATTCTCTCTCTCAATTTTCAATCTCTCTCTCTCTCTCAACTCTCATTCTCTGTCTCTCTCAATTTTCATTCTCTCTATCTCTGTCTCTCTTATTCTGTCTGTCTGTCTCTCACCCTCTTCTCTCTCTCTCTCTCTCTCTCTCTCTCTCTCTCTCTCTCTCTCTCTCTCTCTCTCTCTCTCTCTCTCTCTCTCTCTCTCTCTCAGTCTCTGTCTCTGTCTACCTCTCTCTCTCCCTCTCTCTCTTTCATTCTTTCTCTCTCATTCTCTGTCTATTATTCTCTCTCTCTCTCTCTCTCTCTCTCTCTCTCTCTCTCTCTCTCTCTCTCTCTCTCTCTCTCTCTCTCTTTCTTAGTCTCTTTCTTTTTCATTCTCTCTCTCTTTCCCTTTCTCTCTCTTTCTATCCTTCTCTTTCTCTCTCATTTCTCTTTCTTTTTCATTCTTTCTCTCTCTTTCCCTTTCTCTCTCTTTCTATCCTTCTCTTTCTCTCTCATTCTCGCTCTTTCTCATTCTCTCATATTTATCTCTCTCCCATGCTCTGTCAGTCACTCTGTCTATCTGTCTGTCTTCTGTCTGTCTGTCTTTGTTTTTGTCTCTCTCAACCTCATTAAGTGCATTATTCTTTTTTTCCCCCATTCCTCCTTCCTCTCCATCTCTCTCTCCTTCCTCCTACCCTCTTCCCTTCCTTTCCTCTCCTTCACCTCCTTTTCCTTCTCCTCTTTCTCTCCCTTCTTCTCCTTCTCTCCCTCCTCCTTCTCCGTCTGGACTCGAAGGAAGATGGTGCACTTCCAGATCATATTTGGCGATAGTAAGGTTGGGCGGCCATCATGTGCTGAGGGTGGGGGTGAGTGGGAGTGGGGGGGGGTGGGGGTGGGGGTGAGGGTGGAGGTGAGAGTGGGAGTGGGGGTGAGGGTGGGGGTGGGGGTGAGGGTGAGGGTGAAAGTGGGGGTGAATAGGGGTGAGGATGGGGTAAGTGGGAATGGGGGTGAGGGTGAAGTGGGGGTGAGGGTGAGGCTGAAATTGGGGTGAGTGGGGGTTAAGGTGAGGGTGAAGTGGGGGTGAAGGTGAAGGTAGAGGTGGAGAAGAATTTAACGTAATGTCGGATTCTTTTGATACAGTGTTGGTAATTACCATCGTAGTTAACGGTGCTGTCACTGTCTCTCTCTCTCTCTCTCTCTCTCTCTTTTTCTCTTTCTCTTTCTCTTTCTCTATCTATTCTCTTACTCTCTCTCTCTCTCTCTCTCTCTCTCTCTCTCTCTCTCTCTCTCTCTCTCTCTCTCTCTCTCTCTCTCTCTCTTCTCTTCTCTCTTCTCTCTCTCTCTTTTCTCTTTCTCTTTCTCTTTCCTCTTTCTCTTTCTCTTTCTCTATCTATTCTCTTTCTCTCTCTCTCTCTCTCTCTCTCTCTCTCTCTCTCTCTCTCTCTCTCTCTCTCTCTCTCTCTCTCTCTCTCTCTCTCTCTCTCTTTATTTATTTATCTATCTATCCCTCTGTCTACCTACTTACCTTCCCCCTCCCTCCCTCCCCCACTCCACCCCTTTCCTCCTCACTCCCTCTCTCTCTTCCTCGACCCCCCCCCCCTCCCAGAAACTCGACCTCGTCTCCGAAAAAGCAATCCCGGGCTTGCAAAATCTTGCTTCACTTCCTGCCAGTCTTGAAAGGAAGGAAGGAAGGAAGGAAGGAAGGAAGGAAGGAAGGAATGGAGGAATTAAGGAATTAAGGAATTAATGAAGGAATGAAGGAATGAAGGAATGAAGGAAGGAGGGAATGAAGGAATGAATGAATGAAGGAAGGAAGGAAGGAAGGAAGAAATACTCGATTCTCCGGCACCGTTTCTCTCTCTCCGTCTCTCCTTTCTCTCTGTGCTTATGTGGATGAGGGAGGAGGAAGAAGAGGAGATAAGAGAGATTTGGGAAGAATGGATTTGGGGGCAAATGAGCTCCCGGTGTTCTGGATCTCGAGTTTGAATCATAAATCGTTTTCATTATCGTATCCTCCGTTTTTTTTCGTTTTTTTTTATCTCGTTCTTTTCTTTCTACTCTTTACCGTTTGTTTTATTCTTTTCTTCTCCCTCCCTCTCTCTCTCTCTCTCTCTCTCTCTCTCTCTCTCTCTCTCTCTCTCTCTCTCTCTCTCTCTCTCTCTCTCTCTCTCTCTCTCTCTTCTCTCTCTCTCTCTCTCTCCTATCCTCTTCTTTTCTTTCCCCTTCCCTTCCCTTCTCTCCTCTCCTCTCCTCTCCTTTCCTCTCGTCCCTCCATCCATCCAATCCTCCCCCCTCTCTTTCCCTTTCTCTTTCTCTTACTCCTATTCTCCCTCTCCCACTTCACCTTCTCTCCCTCTTCCTCCTTCTCCTCCTCCTCTCTCTCTCCCTCTCTCTCCTCCGCCTTCACCCTCATCCTTCACTGTCTTCTATATTACACTGTCGTCTCCAGCCTACGGCCAAAATCATCTACGAAAATTCCCATGTGCAAGGTTGCCCTCATTTCTAGCTTTTATTCACCCTCTTTTTTATTTTTTAATCCTTTTTTTTTACTTTTATTTTTAACCTTTTTTTTCTATCAAGGTGATCACACAGCCTGGGGGTGAAGAAGACGGCGAGTACGCTTAATCGAGTCGGTAGCGAATGCCCAAAAAGTATACAAATTTATCCAAAATCCAACCTTATCTTCTAAATTTGTGTTCGATTCAAATCACCTTAGAATACTCTCTTCATATAAAAAAAATCCTAAAGCGAAATGTTTATCCGGAATAAGAAATATTTCACCATGATGCGATTAAGCGGAGTCGTTGGTGCGGTGGCGTGTGTGTCTGTGAGTGAGTGGGTTCGTGCTAACAGCGGGGATGCCCACAGTCCTTCCTTGCGGGCGTGGGCGTGGGCGTGGGGTGGGGGAGGGTCGGGGAGGGGGGGGAGAGGGGATGGGAGGGGGATGAAAGGCGGAGGGAGGAGATGAGGGAGAGGAGGAGGGGGAGGGGGGAGGGGGAGGGTGGTGGGGATAGGTTGGGTTGGATGTCAGGTAGGGTGGGGGTTGGGGGGGGGGAGGGCTTGTAAAGGGTGGTTTTGAGCGATCTTGGGTGGGCGTGGGACGAGGAGGAAGGGGATGGGGGGGGGGGCAGAAGAATGAGAGAGAGAGAGCGAGAGAGAGAGAGAGAGAGAGAGAGAGAGAGAGAGAGAGAGAGAGAGAGAGAGAGAGAGAGAGATAGATAGATAGAGAGAGAGATCCAGACAGACAGAAAGAGAAGGAGAAAGAAAAGCAGAGAAGCACACAGATAAACACACACACATGAAAGCACATAATATATTTTTTTTAAGTACCAAAAAAAGAAAAAGAAAACAGAAAAAAACAGACAAGAAGAAGGAGGGGGAAAAAGAGCGAGACAGTGGAAGTGGGGGAGAAGAAGGAGAAGGGGAAGGGTGGGGAGAGGAGGGAGGAGAAGAAGAGGGAGGGAGGGGGGGGGGGGCAGAGCAGTGCCGCGCGAGAGGGCGAGAGGGCTGGGCACTGGTCAGGTTCACTGGTTCAAAACCGCTCCCAAGGCTCAAGGCGAGAGCCATTATCCCGACCTTCTCCGATGTCCTTTTTTCTTATAAATATAACAACCTGCGTGTGAGTGTGTGACGATGCCGGTCGTGTCCTTCGGGTGGGGGTGGGGGTGGGGGGGGAGGGGGAGGAAGGGGGGGGGAGAGCGATTGGGTTCGTGGAGAGAGAGAAAGATATGGGGTAGAGAGAGAGAGAGAGAGAGAGAGAGAGAGAGAGAGAGAGAGAGAGAGAGAGAGAGAGAGAGAGAGAGAGATAGATAGATAGATAGATAGATAGATAGATAGATAGATAGATAGAGAGAGAGAGAGAGAGAGAGGAAGAGAGAGAGAGAGAGAGAGAGAGAGAGGGAAGGAGGGAAGGAGGGAAGGAGGGAGGGAGGGAGGGAAGGAGGGAAGGAGGGGGAGAGAGAGAGAGAGAGAGAGAGAGAGAGAGAGAGAGAGAGAGAGAGAGAGAGAGAGAGAGAGAGAGAGAGAGAGAGAGAGAGAGAGAGAGAGAAGGAGACCACAAGATCTAAAAAATATAATAACACTAAATAATGAATGAATCGATAAAATGCAATAACCGAAAGAAAAAAAAATCAGAGGGAAAGAAAGAAATGCAGAGAAAATTAGAGAGAAAAGAAGAGAAAAACGTAACGATACAACTACAGCTTAATAGTTTCACACCATAATCGTAAAGTCTAAACGGCAACATTGAAGAAAACATCATTCAAATAATCTTATGACCCATCTCTCTCTCTCTCTCTCTCTCTCTCTCTCTCTCTCTCTCTCTCTCTCTCTCT